AAGACCATTAAGCAGGCAAGTTGCACGGTTTGCTATAAGACAGTCAAACCGCAAGTTGCACGGTTTTTCTATAAGACATTAAGCAGCAAGTTGGCACGTTTCTTAAACGATCAACAGGGGGGGGCATGAGGGAAAACGCGCAGTGGTCAGCGGTTTCTATAAGACATCAAACCGCAAGTTGCACGGTTTTCTATAAACATTAAAAGGGCAAGTTGCACGTTTCTAAAGAACATCAACCGAAGTTGGGGCACGGTTTTCTATAAGCATCAACCCGCAAGTTGTACGTTTTCTATAAGACATGCAAACGCACAAGGTGCAGCGTTTTCTGATAAGACATTTAACAAACCGCAAAGTTGCACGGTTTTCTATAAGACATATATCAAACATCTAACGTGCGGATCCGAACGTTTGATGCAACTCGGAAGTTCAGCTATACTATTCTGGTACACTAGCACCACCAGCCTTCTCTCTGTCGATACTCCGTACTCGCTGCGACAACATGAGGTTTGTTTTCATATCGGCTGAGAGCTAAATGCTGAGGCCGGCCGGCGGATGTGGTAGTGCGGATTGTTAGGCCGGCGAAATGTCTACATAGAGGCGAGTCGTAAATATTTATGACTGTCCACTCTTTGACAGGAGAGAACATGTGTCGACACGGTGGTGAAGATTGCGTGCGCGTGCGTGCGTGCGTGTGCGTGCGTGCGTGTGTGGATGCATTGGGTGAAGCTTGTGTTAGGAGAGTGATGCACTTGATGTGATGTGTGAGAAGATTTCTAAAATTCACATTTAATGTGATTGACGTCGACTTTTATATGCATGTGTGTGTGTGTGTGTGCGTGCGTGCGTGGCTGCGCGCGCGTGCGTGTATGCGATATAGCGAGGGCTATTAGTTTGATGTATATAACGTGGAATGTGTGATAGGCGGAACAGTTGTATCGTGTAAACCGGTGTGTTTACGTGCCTTGTGACGGCAGTGTCTATACGCGATACACAGCGTCAAGCAGTAGCAGTAGCAGCAGCAGTAGTAGTAGTAGCAGTAGGCAGTAGCAGCAGTAGGCAAGCAGCAGCAGCAGCAGTAGCAGACTAGCAGCAACAACGCAAGCAAGTAAACCGCAGCAGTAGCGGCGGCAGCAGCAGTAACAGCGTCAACAACAACTACTAAACCAATAAAACCATCAAATCAAAACTAATCACCATCAATCGTCGTCATCATCTTCATCAATCAATCATCAATCATGCTCATCATCATCACATCATTATCATTATTATCATCCATCATCAGTCACCAGCAGCAGTAGGCAGCACCTCGAGCAAGTAGTGGACGATGTCTCGCGATGCTTCCTCGTTGCTTTACCATGAACATCAAACATAGTTACTCAGATACCAGGGTTTCCTAGAAGTTCAGCCGTTAAAGCTTCGTGGCGGAGGGAGCCAGCGAAGTCTGTGGTGTAATAATGACAAATCTGTATTATGTACACTATTTGTCATTATTAAATATTAACGCCCTGTAGGAATCTAACGACGCGGAAACAAACTTCCGATAGGCAGAATATTCACCAAAAAAACGAGAAATATTAACAAGGAAGTCCATGATCGTAAGCTAGCGAGGGGATGGTGCAAGCGTGCAGCGTCCTCCTAATAATCTGTAGATACCATTACATGAGTCGAATGTGCCAGTGCGAATTTCCTCGCACTAACCTCCGCCACAACCGCCCAAGGTTTTACTCGCAGACAAAATCCGTCTCTCGTTAAATGAGAGAAAACTGCAAAATGAGAACGAAAATGAGTAACTACAGCCTGAAGTGACACACACCACACACACTACGAGTCAATTGATGAACACGTTGTAAATTAGAAGTGGCAGCTCATGCGAGGAGTTAACGAGCGCTCGCCGCGTATAAAGCTGAACAAGACGTTTACGCGTGCGTCGGTAATTTCGCGCGCAGTTTTGGCGGCTTCTTTATAAGCTATTGCTCTCACGTCTCCTGCAGCTTAACCCATTGTTTGATACTAGTTGTTTTCGGCGCAGCGGTGTTTTTTTGAGATGCTAAATGTTGATTTTAAGCGGTGAGGGCGAGTTGAAAAAAGCTTCGCAAATTGGGCACTTCCGGCGAGTCAAACAGGACGAGTTGACTCTGCGTGTTGTGGTCCCCCGTTCCCCCCCCCTTTCGATAGGGGCCCACCTTGAACACCTGCTCTCTGCCTCTTAATTATCATAATTCTTCCTCAGCCCCCGCCTCTCTCCACTCGCTATACTTCTCGCTGCTCTCTCTGCCTCTCTCCTCACTCTACTCCCTCACTCCCCTCTCTCTCCCCTCTCCTCTCTTTCTCCTCTCTCTCTCCTCTCTTCTACCTCCCTATCTTCCTCGCTCACATCTCTCTTCTGTATTTTTTTATACCTTCCCTCGCTCTAGATTCAGTTCACTATTCTCATTTAATCCCACGCTCTTTTTCTTGTCACATTTACTGCTTCTCTTCTGCATCTCTTGACTTTCGCGCC